GAGAGAACACTACTCAGAAACTCTCAATTTTTAATCAATTGTTTCTGAACATTGAAATATCAAACTTAAAAGGAATACTATTCAGCAAATTCCAAACTGTAATTCATCAGCTCCCTATATCAATGTGTTACATCAAGAGGAAATAATAAAAACAAAGATTGAAGTAGATTTTCCTTCCACAAATCTAAATGTTACAGATATTTTGTTTTGCTTTCAGTGATTAAATCCAGTAGTTAGATATGATACTACAACTTCTATTATCTTAGAGCAAAAACAAACTTAAGAACTAATATTTTGTTCTTGAAATGTTCGTGATAAAATAAATACACGTATGTATTTACTTCAATTATATTTATAGCAAATTTACACTAAACAGTGCTTTTATATATTTGAAAAAGGCAGGTGAGTGAAATTATGCACTCCTGAGAATCCCCCCTCCAAGGAGTGTGACAGCACCCCTTAAAATTCGACCTTTTTCAACTTAGATTACAGATTTGTGAAATCTTAGTTTGCAATATATATCAATATTTTAATAAACGGATCGTGTACGTAACTTTTAACAACTAAATGTACTCACAATTATTACTGTGATACATTGTAAACTGAAAGCACTCATAAAAATTCATCCCTCAAGTAAAACTTAGCCAAATGAAGGTGAAGAACTACAATCATGTGCTTTAAAAATGAAGCGATGTTATGGAAACAGTAAGATTAAGCACAGTTTTTGCAATATTTCTGCTATTTATATTTGAAATAAACAGTAGTTTGTTGATGATTACAATATAATAGTTGAATCTATATATGATTAATAATGTTCATAACTCTCATTTGCAAAAATACATACAACTTAGTTTTAGTGTTATTACTGGGTGTTTTTATTTATATTTATTTATCATTCAATGTTAGAATTAAACAGTTACAGCATAATATAAAAAAACCCACAAAAAATACATATGTTCAATTTTCATTGAACTTTTATGACTGTTGCTGACAAGCTCGCAAAAGTGAAGCAAAAGTGCCTCCTCTTTTAGCAAGAAGGTCTTTTGGAGAACCTTTTTCCACTATACGTCCAGCTTCCAAGACAACCACGTTGTCAAAATCCAAAATACTTGTGACCCGATGCTGTTTGAGGAAACAAAAAAATAATGGTTCAGAATATTTAAGATATCACAGACAGTGTTGTGGTCTGGTGTACTAAAATATACTGATGTTAATTCACCAAAGACAACATTGCAATTTAGAGTATTGTGATACAATGATGTTAACATAACACAGACAGTGTTGTGGTCTGGTGTACTATCCTGTAATGATGCTCGCAAATCACACAGATTTTCTGCAAAACCAAGGTGTTTAATAAATTTTGAACCTAAATGTAAAATCATAAATATTTGTACTAATGTACATATAGTATTAAATTTTGGATTACTTGTGCCATCTGACTTAAACATGTATAAAAATCGATACTGAACTAATCGAGTAGACACAGATTGTGTTAAGGAGTAGACATTTCTATTATACTGACACTGGTAGATCATAAAGAAAATGTATCAAAATCTAGAAACACTGCTACTGTTTTGTTTTAATATAAAGAAAATAGTAAAACATCAAATCATAACTTTGAGCTAAACTACTTTCCTAAATAACTGTGTTCAAGTGTGCGTGTGTGTCTGTACAAACATACATGCACAACCTACTAATAGGTCAATAAGACACCTACTCCAGATAGAACACTATTTTACAAACACATAAACATAACCTACTAATATTAGTAGGTTATGAGGTCAATAAGTAAAATAGTATTCTATCTGGAGTAGGTGTCAAACATACATGCACAATCTACTAAGGCTGGTAAGCAGTGCCATATTTTGTACTTGCAGTAATCATTATTTACTAAGGCTGGTAAGCAGTGCCATATTTTGTACTTGTAGTACTCATTATTTACTAAGGCTGGTAAGCAGTGCCATATTTAGTATTTGTAGTAATTATTGTTTACTAAGGGTGGTAAGCAGTGCCATATTTAGTATTTGTTGTAATCATTATTTACTAAGGGTGGTAAGCAGTGCCATATTTAGTATTTGTAGTAATTATTGTTTACTAAGGGTGGTAAGCAGTGCCATATTTAGTATTTGTAGTAATTATTGTTTACTAAGGCTGGTAAGCAGTGCCATATTTAGTAATTATAGTAATATTTGTTGTAATCATTATTTACTAAGGATGGTAAGCAGTGCCATATTAAGTATTTGTAGTAATTATTGTTTACTAAGGCTGGTAAGCAGTGCCATATTTAGTATTTGTATTAATTGTTGTTTACTAAGGCTGGTAAGCAGTGCCATATTTAGTATTTGTATTAATTGTTGTTTACTAAGGCTGGTATGCAGTGCCATATTCAGTATTTGCTCAAATAGTGATTAACGCCATATTAAGTAATTGCTAAGCACAATTATTATAGCTTTACTTAAAGGACAGGTCTGAAGGTGCTCTCAGACAGCTTATCACAACATGCATTTTATTAAAATATCTTGTGCTCTTAAGCCTTTGAGTGACATATACAAAATATGAGATCACTGTACATCTCGCTATTTTCCCACCTTTAAAATGATATTTCACACTAGTATTTAAATAAACATGGTTAAGAATTTAAAAACAATTTTTGTGTCAGGAAAGTGTTAATGAATTTCCCATTTAGATTAGAAAAACATTAAATTTATTATACCATTTAGAAGACAAGTTATCTAGTCCTTTTTTCTCATGGTTATTAGATTTATTATTCTTATGCTACAGCATAAACACTGTAAATACTTACAGCAATGGCAAGAACAGTGCAGCCAACCCAGGACGAAGCGACCACCGTCTGCAGAGCCTTATCAGTTTCTCGATCGAGAGAGGAGGTGGCCTCGTCTAACACAATGATCCGACTCTGTCGCAGTAATGCCCTTGCGAGACAGAAAAGCTGAAAATTAAATGTCAAAATCCATTTTGATAAGCAGTTAAGAAAGGCCTGGCAGTTTGATAAGGAAAAATAAAGTCACCAAGTTGAATTTCTGGACAACCAAATTCAACTAATACAGATGTACAAACTTTTGAAATCAAATTAAAACATATAGTATCAAGTAAAACTTTGGAGAGCAAACAGAAAAGTAAATCGAACAATCATTTTGTTTGTTGAAAAGAACATGATAACAAATGTTATGTTCTAGGCATTTGAAAAGGTAAATAAAAAAATTAGTGTTTCAAAATAAATGAGTAACCTCACCTGTCGCTGACCAGTACTAAAGTTTGCTCCTTCTTCCAACACCAAAGAATCTAGCATGTGACAAAACACATTTGTATGTATGTACTTTGCAAATAAAAATACAGTATTTCATGTGCATCTGTTGCACAGTAAGAGATAGTTGAACTAGAACACACTAACCATGTTCATTCTATTTAAATGTATTTTTACATTATATGTTTAACACCAGCCACATGAGCCAGCTTGGCATCTTTATGTGGACTCAAAAATATGAGTCATTTCAGAAAGGTTTGGGTTGTTTTTATTGGATACTTGGTACTATTTTTAGGGTCAAGGTTGCTGGACCAAACATGTGACCAGGTGAAGTTAACTTGTAAATATAAAGTCGCGATCAAACATGCTTGAAATGTTCTAGATTTGGTTGTAAATGAGATGGTTTAAGTGTAGTGATTAAGATAAACTAAGGGTCCAGGTAAGATGAGGAAAGTACTTATTTGATTTAACATATCAGCTAAATCAGAGATTCACCAAATGATTGCTGCATTGACATTGAAACATAAAAAAACAGGCACAATATTCTCATTAACTTCAAAAGGGGGGGATTGGAAGCATTTGTACGAAATCATTAGTTTCAATATTGTGTGATACTAACGGCACAGTAAAGGCCAAAGATGCAGCGTTGAAGTTGAAGCAGATGCATTACAAGATGATTTTCTAGCGATTTTCAAATTTAAAATGCCATTTCTGTAAAAAAGAGTAGACATACGAAGTATGGTATAATGCCCAGTATGGTAACACCATAGTATAATCCATATAGCTTTCATCATGTCATATCTTCATTAATATTTAGTTTATTTCAGTTTAGAAGTTGTGCTGAACTTCATTCATCAAGATATATCGAAATAACCCTAAATCACCAGTTTCCAGAATGAACCTCCTAGGCTCAGTACTAAAAGATGCCAGGCTAGCTTGTGTTGCAGGTCTTAAGAACTTTATATAAACCATAAAAAATAATAAGTAAATAGACCTTATATATAATTTAAGATCCATCATCATGACAACATCCACATATACAAACATGTAATAGTATATATTATTAAAGATTCTCTACTGAATAACTAGAAAAGATTCTTTTGAGAAACAAATCATCTATAAAAGACTTTCCTGCATGCTCTGTAAGTATCTTGCTATTACTCTCATCTTCAAGCTAAATGATTATAAAAATTCAGTTAGTTTTTAAACCCCAAAATAATAGTTACTTATTATTATTATAAATTAATTTTCAATAATTTATTCATTGTGTAAAAACACTAGCGTACAAACATTTTGATCTATTAAACAATTTTTGAAAAATTATTTAGTCAGTCTCTTTGCTGTGAAATATTTTCTGGAAGTGACAATGTGAAAATTCAGTTTTTACATCTTGAATAAATCACTATTAACATATTGTGATGTTAAATTTCTAGACCTTAATTTCTGATTAAAAAGAAAAAATTTGTAACATTAAAACTAACTAATTATTCTATACATTTCTCCCTTCCTTACACAATTAGAAATGTGCATCATTAATAAGACGATTCCTTGTATTATACTCCAGTATCTTGAGACTTACTTAAAATATTCAAGGTTTTAATAAATAAAGAAGGAACATGACATTTAACTGAGTTAACTCGGCATTTTGAAGCGTAAAAATGTTGTTTCTACTTTTTCTGCTATACCTGAATTTTCTATTTTATTATGTCTTACGTATCCTTTATGTTCCTGCTTTGGACGAAACTACAGTCTTAGCTCAAACAAATAATGTTACAGCTTTAAATATCCAAGAAACAATGGAAATGATAAAATTTAAAAAAGAAGAACAAGTAATAAATTGAGATGAAGGTCTATCTAGTCACTTATGGCATTTACATACTGTAAATGCTGACCGATGATTTATTTAGATAACTTTTAAACGTAATATCTCATGGCATGTAGAAAGTATAAATTGTTTTGAAAATAATTCCTGAAGATGACATAGAAGCGCATCGATACGTGTAATGCGAGTTTTTACATGAAAGCCATTGACAGCTCTATTAAATTTTTAATTGTGTAGATACGAATCAATGCATTTTAATTACTTATTTGATTTTAAACAGTCAGTACAATTTTAATATTCTATTGCAAAGCTTGTAATAAGGATTTTGCAACAAGTATGGTTTACCTAAACCTTCAGAGAAAGAGATGACCAAGTCTTTCATCTGAGCTGTTTCAAGTGCTTTCCACAGTTCTTCATCAGTATGTACATTTCCAGGATCAAGATTTTCTCTACAAAGCAACAAAAATTTCTCAAGTATTATGTAGAAAGTTAGCTTTATTTTTAGCGCACATTTTACTTTCTTGAGATGTGTATTTATCGTCTAAACATGTAAAACATAAAGCATAACAAAAATCCAAGAATACATAATTATTTTGAAATCTGAGAAAAAAAAAGAAAAGAAGAAAGTGATTATATTTCAGCTAAGTTCATTTCAGATTAACAGTAGTTTGGGAAACAACTCAAATTCTAATAAAACCTAGAAACAAATATAATTAGGTTTTACTGAGTGAATGTTCATTTAACTTGTAAAATTACATATTAAATGGTTTGCTGAATGAGGACTATGAATTTATGAATAACTGTCTGATATGTCAATGTAATTACCGAATGAATCCTATGAAAGTGTTCTTTTTCTAATCACCTTGTTTTCACACTGTTGTGAGGAAACTGCGTTTAAAAAAAGTAGAACGCATACAAACCAGTTTCAAATTCTATTTACTCAAGAATATTCAAGATTAACATAGTTGTCTATCTCCATATTGAAGTATATTTTAGACACCACTTTTCAATGTCAAAAACAAACAAACAAACCTTACCTCACAGTTCCTGAAAACATGACAGCATCCTGTGGAATTATGGAAAGCTTTGTTCTTAGTGTACTTAAGGGAATGTCAGTTACATTCACACCATCAATACGGATTTTGCCATCCGAGATATTCAGAAGCCGAAATAAACCCATGACTAAGGAGGACTTTCCGCTACCAGTTCTCCCACAGATCCCGACCTATGAACATATACGAAAATACATATGATAAAGTAAAGAAATTTGACTTTTGGAGAGAAGTCACCTTAAAAATCTTTAGTTTTAATCTTTATTTTCTTGGCAAAGTTTTGAGCAAATGCTTTTTTTTTTAAACAAGAAACAAGCCTGAACCAGATGAGGAGTGTATTTAAGAAAGTACTTGCAAATATACATTTTACCATAGAATAATAGTCCTTAAACATATATTATGATCATACTTTAAAGTATACAAGTTTTAAGATACTTTTTTCACTATGTAAAATATAAATGTAGACAGTACCAGCAGATATTTAGCATCAGTAATAATAATAATAACTATAATAATAATATTAATAATAAAAATAAAAGGAAAATGCCCTGTACACATTCAGTTAATCACTGCAGTACCAATGAAATTACTCAAACAGAGAGATGTTTTCCTCCAAACTAGTGGCTGGTTACCAAGGAAAGCTTCGGTAGATAATCACTGCAGTACCAATGAAATTACCCTGGAGGAAAACATCTCTCTGTTTAACTAGTGGCTGGTTACCAACTACTGAAGCTTTCCTTAATCACTGCATCCTTACAATTCCTGCAATACTTCCTGCATGCAAAAAACTGGCTTTCAATTTAAAACCTCTGAACTGGATCTTCAACAACATGCGACCTCAGCCTCAACAGTTTCACTACTGCATTTAACATTCAACTACAGAAAAAGCTTCATTAGAGCCCTATTCACAAATTGTAAACATTTGTCTTATATACCGTGGTTAATGGATAAAAAATGTGAGATTTATTTAATAAAAATGAAGTTCATCTATCACAAACATTAAAAGTCCATTTAATTTAAATGTTCATAAAAGTAAGAGGCCAAGTTATAGAACTACTTTGTTACTGTATGATTTCCTGATCCTTACCATAATGCACATTATAATTAGAGTGGAGACCATGTCAATTTTTTGGTTTTCACATTTCCTGATGAGGGGCGATATGTGTTAAATAAACTCTGTAGAAAAGTACAAATGGCCAAACACATTTCAATGATGATAAAATTTTTGAACTAATTACATAAAATTGTACTTCTTTCATCCTTCATGAGTTAGTTGTAAAGATTTACCTTTTCTCCTGGTTTGATATTCAATGTTACATTCCTTACAACTGGGTCTAAGTCATCATCGTAAGAAAGTGTCACATTCTCAAAGGTCACTTCTCCACTGGCTGGCCAATCTTGTGAAACAGCTGTAAAAACAAAAGTATCATTTAGCTTTATATAAAATTCAGACAGCATGATAACTTGTGGTCTTGAGAAGCGAGATTGTATTCTCGGAAGTTACAGAGATTTCTTAAATTGTAAGTCAGTGTTGAATGCTGATAATACAAAGTTAATATATTTCAGGGGCCAATATATGCACTTGTTGTGAAACTTCAAAATTATAATTCTTTAAATTACTTTTTTTAAATTGTCTTTTTCTTATTCAAAATATTCAATTTTTATGAAGAAGATTATAATTTCACAGACCTGTGATGGTTTTATTGTCTTGGAATTTTTACATGTTCTTCTTGTATGCTGAATACGAAAATGATATCCATTTTTCTCTATCACATACAGTGTTATGATATATAAGACTGTTTCGTTCAGATAGTATTGATTAATTTAGTTTTGTGAGTGAATGTTTTATTATTATTTAGTTTTTGTTGTAATAAGAGTTAAAAGCAGATGATAGGAAGTTGTGTTCATAATTAATTGATGTTGATAATATCAAACGTCATGTCAATATATTGACGTCGAGAATATAGAAGATGGATAGACAATTAAGTGATACTGATATAAATAGCGTGAGACAAGCGAGAAGCAGCAGACAGACAGATAATAGCAAAAGAGAATAAAGTTGGTGTGAAGTTAACTACCATAGAAGTGATAGACCTAACATTTAATATGTTAGAGTGAAACTTACAGTAGAAAAGAAGATAAGAATAATAATTTTATTCCGCCAAAGCGTGGTTCTAAAGTAATTGAATCAGCCTGAGTGCTCTTTGACAAAAGGAGCAGAGGATCTTCAAAAGAAAGAAGACTAAACGATTACGGTGACTCGCACTACAATTGTAAGTGAATCACAGAGAATACTAGTGCGATAGAAATAGAGAAAATAGTCCGGCTTGTCAACTGAAATTCCAAAGTAATTGAATAGGCCTACGAGGATATTTGACAAGAAGGAGAGAACTACATATATAGTATTTATGATATGCCTATAACATCTAGTGTTGAAGAATTTCTTGTGCATACGTTAACTTGTTCTGAATATATACATATTATTTTGAAACCAAGTGAAGTGTGTGCTGTTTATTCATCATTGAATTTATTGCTAACAAATCACAGACACCTACTGTAGAAGAAGCCTAAGCCCAACAACAACATAGTATATTTTTATACTATTAAAAAAAAAATAACTAAAAGCCTTTCTATTTGACAATTGGCAAAAACGAAAGTTATATATATATATATATATATTATTTTAAATTCTGATGTACATATTTTTCACAAAACGTCATATGTACTTTTACACAAGTGAATTATTTTCATTGAAATTGGATCACATTTTGTTAAATAGATATAGATTTCTCTAGACCAATCATGATGTGAGAGTCTTATTGATGGTTCTAGAACCCACGAGAAACACACCGCTAGTATATAAATCATTAACAAGCCGCATGACATTACTGTTTTCTTTTCAATATTATTTACTCATTGCTATGGCAATAAGAGGTTGTGTAAATGACCTAAACATATTCTGTTATATTTGTGGTAAATTTGACTTGAGTAAGAGTTTTTTTTCTTTCCTTACGTGATAGAAAAAATTAATATTATTTTCGAGATCTGCATACCTGAATTATGGAAAATCTGTTCTTAAAACCAAAACAAATTTTATGAAGTTTAAATTTGCAGGCCTGTGTTGTCAATGCTTTCTAGCAGCACGAATGTTACATGCACATATTTATGTACTACGAATGTTACATGCACATATTTATGTACTACGAATGTTGCATGCACATATTTATGTACTACGAATGTTACAGACACATATTTATGTACTACAAATGTTACAGACACATATTTATGTACTACGAATGTTACAGACACATATTTATGTACTACGAATGTTACAGACACATATTTATGTACTACAAATGTTACAGACACATATTTATGTACTACAAATGTTACAGACACATATTTATGTACTACAAATGTTACAGACACATATTTATGTACTACAAATGTTATATATACATATTTATGTACTACAAATGTTATATATACATATTTATGTACTACGAATGTTAGCATGACACATATTTATGTACTACGAATGTTACAGACACATATTTATGTACTACAAATGTTACAGACACATATTTATGTACTACAAATGTTATATATACATATTTATGTACTACAAATGTTACAGACACATATTTATGTACTACAAATGTTATATATACATATTTATGTACTACGAATGTTGTATACACATATTTATGTACTACAAATGTTACAGACACATATTTATGTACTACAAATGTTACAGACACATATTAATGTGCTACGAATGTTACAGACACATATTAATGTGCTACGAATGTTACAGACACATATTTATGTACTACGAATGTTACAGACACATATTTATGTGCTACGAATGTTACAGACAAATATTTATGTACTACGAATGCTATATACACATATTTATGTACTACGAATGCTATATACACATATTTATGTACTACGAATGCTATATACACATATTTATGTACTACGAATGCTA